AGTACCCATTATCGATCAAGGATTTATTATTTTGTCGTTCTTGCATGCGATCCCCTCCCCCCTCCCCCCTTATTTCCTATCTTACTCCTATCGTTCTTCTCTCTCCTCCTTTTGCTTTGTATGTTACTCTCTAATAACGCTGAGTGGGTGGTTGGCGGGTGCTCTGGTGTGGTTTGCTTCTTCTTTCCTATCAAACATCTATTGTCCTGATCTATCCTTCTTCTTTTTATGTTAGTTACTCTCTTGTAACACCTCTAATCTTCTGCTGCTCATATTATGACCTTATGCAGTTGCGAGTGCTGTAAAACTCTTACTAAAACTAACTCATTTACGCTGCTTCAGCACTTACATGTCATTGTAATTTAGTTGTAAATGCCGTAAAACTCTTTGTAATACTAAAACAAAACTCCTCTTTTCCCCTCTACCCATGGGGATGGTTGGCGGGTGCTCCTTCTTTCCTATCAGCCATGATCTATCGTCCTTATCTCTCCTCCTTTGTTTGTGTTTGTTACTCTCTTGTAACACCTCTATTCTTCGACACGTATATGGATGAACTAATTGTGTTTGAAGTACCGTGATATTATTCTGTCTAAATCTAAAACAAAACTCTCTGATGTCCCTTTTTCTAACGCATCCGCCCTCTTTCTCCCACCCCCGCTCGTCCGCCCACCCGCGATTCTCTCTCTCTCTCTCTCTCTCTCTCTCTCTCTCTCTCTCTCTCTCTCTCTCTCTCTGTCTCTCTCTTTCTCTCTCTCTTGGTATTGCGAAATCATTTTGAGTACAGAACATTTTCAGAAAAATAATAACAGCTACAACAAGAAAAGCGGGCGGGTGGCATTCCGGTAAAAGTAAACTACTAGAGCCCTCCATTTTGGAGCATAACCCTATCCGTACTTCCAGGGTCATTTTGTACCCCCGGGTTTGTATTCTTCACATTTTAGAATACTTCTAGTACGAAGATCCCTTTGAAACTTTCAGTATTTCTTTAAAAAATAATTTTTACAAACTGCTATGCAAAGCGTACGGATTGGATTAACGAGTAAATTTCCTCTTTGGGAAGTGGTGGCACAGAGTTCCCCACGTCGTATGGATACGATAGTAAAACGCGATGTACGGATAGGGTCAATTGACCTACTACGCACATCCGGGTCTCCAATTTTAGTGGAGTCTCACATTTTGGGTCGCCCTGACTTCTTGCATGAAAGACACACGGGTTTAGGTTATTTTAAGAATCCGAGAGGGCGGGGTCGAAATGTACTTTTACTTTTGTGTCTGGTTCATCTGACGTCTGCTAGAATGAAGGGTGGCGTAGTGGGGTACACTGGGGTAAAGATACAAAAGTACAGGCTCACGGCACAGGGGGTGGGGGGTGAGAAAGAAAAAGTGAGAAAAAAGAGAGAGGAGGATGGAGAGAGAGACTGAGAGAGAGAAAGAGAAAATGAGAGAAGGTGGGGGGGA